CCCAACCTGTTAATAAGAGCTACGTAGGCAGGATTCAAATCAGGAATGTCATCTTATCTCCCAGAAATCAAAAAATGCACCAAGAGTGAACAAGAAGGAAAGGCTTCAGTGCTAAACTGAACTGAACACGACTCGTTAAAGCTTAAATCTACTACTTTTAATCTTTAGTGTTACTGGTTGGAAAACTTCAATGAGCAGCTTGTTTTAAGTAAACTGAGATGAAAGCAGTTTTTCCTCATTTTAATCTGAAATAGTCTTTCAGAAGATGCAAATAAATGCAACACCACGTAATATCAAGGAGAACAGGTCAACCAGGATCCAGCAGGAAGTTACTGATATTCTCCTCCAACATCCACCCTTCAGAGAAGTTAAATTATTTCATGCACATTTTGAAGGTGTTAAATTTGTTGCACTGAGTTTGGATGGGTCTGAATTTTAGTAGTGATGTCACTGCGAGCACTTTGAGTTCACTATGTCATGATTTTTGCCCCTATAAAAGCAGGAGAGCACCACATCCAGACTTCATTCCAACACAGCGATGACTGAATTAACCTGCTGTGAACATTAGCAAACTTATATTGACTGAGCAGCTGTTCTTTTAAACTTTGTCATAGTTAAGATGTTGAAAAATGATAAACAGAGGCAGACTAGTAAGACACATTAGCTTACTTAACGGCTGAGCTGGCGTCAGTTCAAGGCCTGGAGCGCACTGGTGGAAACGCTAAAGAAGATGAATCAGAACGAGGTCTTGCTTAGTTCGTTGACAAATGTGGTTAAAGCCTTTGAAATGGTTACAAAGCAAACTGCACATCATGTGATATATAAATATCATGTCACTGCATCATTGCTATAGCAACGCCATGCTTTTACGGTACCCAGAGTGTACAGTAATGAAACAAGCCCAGGTTTGTCTGAGGGCGAGAACCGCACAATGGCCAACAAAGCACGTTACTTTACAAAGTACGAATAATTTTACAGCAAAATGTTTGCAAAAAGTTCCTGCTAAAGGTGGAAACAACAAACTTGCTTCACCACGTGAGGAAAAGTCACCATCCAGCACAACCAGGCTATGAAGGAGAGGATGCTAGCAGCTGATGACGTGAGTGAGTGGAGCACTTGCTAGATACACTTTATATGACAG